AGACACTGTCGGATCACCGTTATATCAGATTCGACGTCTCCGCTCTACCAGATCCCTTGACCAGCCCAAGCCGACCGGCTAGGGAAGGTGGCCCAAGGTGGCAGCTCAGAAGCCTGGACCGAGAAGTCCTGAAGGAGGCGGCAATCGTCCAGTCCTGGGTGTCTACGCCTAGGCACTTGGACGTTGAGGAGGAGGCGGAATGGTTCCGGGAAGTTATGACGCAGGTGTGTGATGCGTCCATGTCCCGGTCCAGAAAACTTCCTCCCAAGCGCCAGGTGTACTGGTGGTCTGCGGAAATCGCGCAAATGCGCAGTGCGTGTCTAGCAGCAAGACGCCGGTACACCCGATGCCGAAGGCGACGGCGCAGGGATTTAGCCCAGGAAACCGAACTGTACGCCTCCTTCAGACAGGCCAAGATGGCATTGCAGGTGGCTATAGCGTCGGCGATTGCCGTTGCTAGGGAGCAGTTTTTGGCTGCACTCAACCGTGATCCATGGGGGAGGCATTACAGGATGGTGATGAACAAGCTTCGCCCCTGGGCCCCCCCATTAACACAAAGCCTGCAGCCACAACTGGTAAAGGCGATCGCCGCAGCTTTATTTCCACAGCGGGAGGAGCACACGCCACCACCGATGGTTCGACCCGGCACGGAGGTGACCGACCAGAGCCTGGATGTACCTGAGGTGACTCCAGGTGAGTTCGGCGCTGCCGTCCTTAGGATGAAAGTCAAAAGCGCCGCCCCGGGTCCCGACGGTATCCCGGGACGAGCCTGGGCCTTGGCCCTGGGGGATGCCCTGGAGCCCAGGCTGAGGGCGATGTTTACTGCCTGTCTGGCCCAAGCTATAATTCCACAGAAGTGGAAGACAGGCAGACTCGTCCTCATCCGGAAGGAGGGGCGTCCGTGGACTCGCCCTCCGCCTATCGGCCGATAGTTTTACTCGACGATGTGGGGAAGCTCTTTGAAAGAGTTGTCGCTGGCCGCATCGTCGATCATCTGGGAAACGTTGGGCCGAATCTGGCGGAGAGGCAGTTCGGGTTCCGCAAGGGTCGGTCAACTATCCACGCGGTGTTGCAAGTTAGGTCTCTCGCACAGGAAGCAGTTTCCCAGGGCGGAGTTGTCTTGGCGGTGTCTCTTGACATCGCCAACGCCTTTAACACTCTGCCCTGGGCTTGCATTAGGGAGGCGCTCCGGTTCCATGGAGTGCCTCTCTACCTGCGCCTTACCATCGAGGCCTACTTGTCGCATCGCCGTGTTGAGTTTCCGTGCCAAGACGGGTATCGGACCATCGAGGTGACGTGCGGTGTTCCACAGGGGTCGGTGTTAGGGCCACTCCTGTGGAATATAGGCTATGACTGGGTGCTACGTGGCGCCTATCTCAGGGGTGTCGAGGTGATTTGTTACGCCGATGACACCCTTGTGACCGCCCGTGGCACAAACTTTCGCCGTGCCGCTATTCTCGCCACTGCGGGAGTGGCTCAGGTGGTGGGACGCATTCGGCGACTAGGGTTAGAGGTGGCGCTGAATAAATCCGAGGCTCTATGTTTTTATGGGCCTCGGAACGCGCCACCTGCGGATGCTCACATTATTGTGTGTGGGGTCCGTGTCGATGTAACATCTACGATGAGGTACCTCGGCCTAGTTCTAGATCGCCGATGGGATTTCCGGGCCCACTTCGAGCGTCTGGCTCCCAAAGTGGCGAAAGCAGCGGCAGCTCTCGGTAGGCTGCTCCCGAACGTTGGCGGCCCCAATGACTCCTGCCGTCGCCTATACGCCGGAGTCGTGCGGTCCATGGCCCTGTACGGAGCTCCCGTTTGGGCTGACACCCTGAAGCGCCGGACCCAAGCGCTTTTGCGCAAACCACAGAGGGTGTTGGCTACTCGGGCCATACGGGGCTACCGGACGATCTCCGGTGAGGCGGCTTGCCTGTTGGCCGGCTTTCTGCCCTGGGATCTGGAAGCTAAGATCCTCGCGTCATTGCACTCCTGGCGCGAGGCTGCAAAAGCCCAGGGCCATACACCGGCCCCGGAGGAGTTGGGGGAGCGCAGGGATCGCCTGCGCTCAAGGGCCATCGGGGAGTGGGAGCAGAGGCTGGAGCACCCCAGTGCCGGCCTAAGAACCGTAGAGGCCATACGTCCTATCCTCAGGAAGTGGTTGGACAGGCGACACGGCACCCTCACCTACCGTGCGACGCAGATCCTCTCGGGACATGGCTGTTTCGGGAGGTACCTGTTTCGCGTGGCGAGGAGGGAGCCCACAGCGGAATGTCACCACTGTGACGTATGTGCCGAGGAGACGGCCCAACACGCACTGGAGGAGTGCTCAGCCTGGACGGAGCAGCGCCGAGAGCTATGCGCTATCGTGGGGCACGACCTCTCGCTGCCAGCCGTGGTTCGCGCTATGGTTGACAGCGAGAGAGCGTGGGGTGCTGTCCTCGCATATTGCGAGGACGTTATCACCCGGAAGGAGGCCGCGGAGAGAGAAAGGGAGGCAACTGCCACCCAGGAAATCCGCCGCCGGAGACCAGGGCGCAGGAAGCTGGCCTACGCGCGCAACCTTCCCCCCTGATAGCGAGACCCTGAGCGGCAGACATGGGGGCGTCTGTCGCTCAATATGGGGCTCGAGACGTGTGCTGTGCCAATTGCACCGGCACAGCACGATACAGTAGAGGAGGCCTAAACAGGGCCATAGTCGCGCCGGGGTCGCGGAAGATTGCGTCCACGTGTTCCCGTGTCCCCGGCCGATGCGACAGAGACAGGTGCAACGTGGGTTTTTTAGTGGGTACCCGTTTCTCACCGGGACTCCCACATACCCCTGCCACTCCCCCGATCCAGTGGTAGGGGATCCATAAAGGATTTTTCCCACGAAAAAAAAAAAAAAAAAAAAAAAAAAAGGCGTTGTTGCGCAGTGTCATAACTGCCAACACTATGGCCACACAGCCCGCAACTGTTTTGCTCACCCTAGGTGCGTCAAATGCACCGGTGACCACGGCACGACAGATTGCACGCGTCCTAAAGATTGCGCAGATCCACCGGACTGCGTAAATTGTTTGACTACTGGCCACCCGGCTGCGCTAAAGCTCCAAAAACCCTCGCGAGGAAAGCACCCGCAAAAATTACGCTCGCGAAAATCGCGGCCCGGAAATCCGCGCCGGCGAAGTACATTCCCGCGCCCGCACCCGTCGTAAACGCCTGGGCGAAACCTCAGGCAGTCGCGCAGGTAGCCGCGCCTCTGGTCGCCTCACGACCGACGACATTCCAACCGCAGCCTGTCAAACAACAAGCACCGAGGCCGCAGGTGCATTTTATTACACCGGTCGTTTCCGCGAACCAAGACGACCCTTTTGCCCAAATGGCAAACATCTGCAGCTTCCTGGAACGCATAAACCGGGAAGAGCTCGCCGTCCTATCTACAAAGTTATCGGCCGCCACATGTGGCACCGATCGACTTAATGCGCTCAACGAGCACAAAAAACTTATAGACGCCCTTTGGTTGTTTACAAATCAACCATAAAGGTTAATAGTCCGGACAATAAAACCGCGCTTCGCCGCGTCGCTACCTGGAACCGCTACTAAAACTAAAATGGAAAGTACAACCGCAGGTAGATTAAAACCTCGGGCTCTGGTTGTTTCGTATTTTAACGCAAACGGCATTAGGGGCCAAAGGGACGAAATCGCAGAATTCCTTCGCGATTATAACGTCGATATATTTCTAGTGCAAGAAACCTTCTTGAAACCTAGCAGACGCGATCCAAAAATCGCAAATTATAATATAGTCCGCCACGACCGGTTAGCAAACCGTCTGGGAGGTACCTTAATATATTATAAACGGTCCTTGCACTGTTGCCCGCTCGATATCCCAGAGCTAAGACATATAGAGGCATCCGCGTGTAGGTTAGCGCTCACCGGCCACAGGCTGCTTGTACTAGTTTCAACAACAACGGTAGGCAGCTCTTTAACTTATCTGACGATTTAAATTACAGCATAATCGCTCCTGTGACTCCCACAAGATATCCTACGGTGGACGATTACCAGCATTCGACACCGAGTATTCTTGATATCATGTTGTTCAAGGAGGTCTCCCTCGATATCGCGTCGATAGAGACAATCCAAGAATTAGAATCAGATCACAGGCCGGTCCTGTGTAAACTGGGTCAGAACGCCGGCGCTGTCCCTCCGACCAAAACCGTATTGGACTGGCATCGCCTTGAGGTCAAACTCAAGGCCTTCCCTCAGCACATCTTCAACCTACCCGAGACGATAGCTACGTTCTGTTATATATGCTCCCTGTATATAATAGACCTGACCTAGCCTGCTACCTAATCCAACCTTTGTCAGCATATTTGTAAGCACTAGATGCCCCCTGCATTGAAGAGTTAGTTCGTCACAAGCATCCAAAGCGGTAACACTTGCCCGACATTCGAATTCCATTCTGATCTATTATATTTCAAAGTGTTTTAATAAGAAATATATACATTTTGTGATTTAAACTTTTTTTTAAAAACCTAAATTCCGAAAACCGCATAACAAATTTGGTGGCAGCTTAAGGGATCATACTACTGGTCCTCGGTCCGTCTCCAATACGCGATCAGTGGAAAATAAGACAAGTGAAGTGCAAGTGTTAGTAAACGTCTGTACCTAAATTAGTGTCGAACTCGGGTGAGATAAATAATCTTCGCAAAATGTAAATCATCTCATCCTCAAAATCCTGTTTCTGCGAAATATACAAATCCAGCCTGTTCCGGAGCGCCTACAAATCTTCGTGCTGCATAGCGTGACCGAATAAAGAGCGCTAATTCTATCAAGAATATGTTCCTGCATCTCTACTTCGTCGCGATCCTGTAAGTGCTAAAAATTTCTCCGAATTTCAGTGATACTACAAAGCCGTGCCTCGTTATCAAAGTGTTGTGTTCAAAATAGTTATAATACTTTTATGAATAATAACTAAAAACTTTTCATGTACTTAATGTAATAATAAGTATATAATTCCTTACGCATATTACCATTTCAATTACCAATCTCGAATTATAACATTGTACTTAACGCATAATTCATAGGAAGAGCGTCTTCGCCACTGCACCTGCGCTTATCAGTAGCTCATATAAAGTTACTCGGTTGGCCGCCTATTACACCGTAACATTCCAATACTAATTAAATTTCGTATTTTATATAATAACATAATTAAAAATGGCAAATAAAGATTCTACTATTAAAGCCGAAAAAGGGGAACCGATGCGAGCCGGAGAACTATTCCAATTCATAAATACTTTTGACGGCTCTCGCGAAGAATTAAATTCATTTATAACAAATTGCGATAATGGCATGTCTTTAGCAACGGATTCACAGAAATCGACTGTTTTTAAATACATTCTTTCTCAATTACGAGGAAGAGCTAACGCTGCTGTTTCAATTGAAGAATACGATTCGTGGGCGCAACTTAGCGACTTCCTCTCTTACACAGTTTGGCGAAAAGAAACACTATACACATTTACTAACCGATTTTCAAGAGTGCCGTCAATTACCTAATGAATCAGTTACAACATATGCGTTGCGTTTGGAAACTTGCCTGTCAAAGTTACTTACAGAAATTACATTGTCAAACAAGAAGAAGTCTGAACTACAAGGTCGTATAGCTTCAATGGAAGACCTCGCTCTCCATACGTTTTTACTTGGTCTTAAACCGAACATTTCCAATTTAGTCCCTGGTAAGAATCCTAATCAACTGAATGATGCCTTAAATTTAGCAGTATCCGAGGAAAAGATACAACAAATGTTGTATAAACGTAACTTACCCAGTCATACTCCAATGTCACCGCGTCATATGCAACGATCTAATCAGACCGGCGATACACAATGTCAATGTTAAACCCCAAATACATATGCAAAACAATGCATTTTGTCGCTATTGTAAAAATCAAGGACACACCATAGAAGTGTGTAGAAAACGCGAATATAACAATAGTCGGCTTAATGCTCCTCAGTCTCAACCTAATCGTTTTAATTACAGTCGCGATAATAATCATCAAAGATATCCGCGAACACAGATAGCACGCGTAAACTTCGTGGAAACTAATTATGATCGTGATTACTCTCAACCACAACCTAGTACTTCTTATAACGAAAATCAATACAACATTGATACCGAAAATAGCGACGCAGATCAGCAAAATCTAGATAGCGGAAATTTAAACGATTAGCGGGCTCACGGCGGTGTCTCGTGAGACCCAAGTCTCTACTCTCTATCAAACGAATTGAACACAATGACACCATACCAAACCATGTACAAAACCAACTATACACGAAACCATTTCATTATATATCCCAAGGCCACAAGGGTAACCAGCCCCAAGCAAGTGTCTATATTATTCAATATCCCAGGACCACAAGGGTAACCAGCTCCAAGCAAGTGTCCATTCTTCAATATCCCAGGACCACAAGGGTAACCAGCCCCAAGCAAGTGTCTATTCTTCAATATCCCAGGACCACAAGGGTAACCAGCCCCAAGCAAGTGTCCATTCTTCAATATCCCAGGACCACAAGGGTAACCTGCCCCAAGCAAGTGTCCATTCTTCAATATCCCAGGACCACAAGGGTAACCAGGCCCAAGCAAGTGTCCATTCTTCAATATCCCAGGACCACAAGGGTAACCAGCCCCAAGCAAGTGTCCATTCTTCAATATCCCAGAACCACACGGGTAACCAGCCCCAAGCAAGTGTTCGCATCTTATTCCTATTTCCAAAACAATTCATAAAAGTACACATATGTCAGAGCATCGCCGAATACATCCTGAAAATAATGAAAACTTAAATCTACACCCTATTCCAAAAGATGATGTAATTTACGAGATTACGTGTAATCCAAATAAAAAATCATTACCTCATGTAATAATAAAAACTAGTGTATCTGAAAATCCACTTACCTTTCTTGTAGACACTGGATCCTCAATCTGCCTTATTAAACAATCCTCCATTCAGTCGCACCTGAACCTGAAACTAAAAAAGGATACAATTAAATTAAAAGGAATAGATAACAGTAAAGATGCCGTTCCTACCTTAGCAAATTTCGAACTCGATCTTCTTTTCGGCAAAGAGACCGTCGCCTTTACATTTCATGTCGTTGAAGAAATCAATCTCACCTATGATGGCATTATTGGAAATAATTTACTTACCCATTATCAGTGTAATATTGATTAAAATCGCAATGTATTCAATTTAAACCGAAATAAACTTAAACTTAACTTTACAGAACCTGTTTATAATATACCTCCTCGCTCCGAAATGATTGTAGAGTGTTCAATTAAAAACCCAGAACTAAAAAATGGGCTTATTTTGGATCAACGCATTAACGAAAACCTATTGGTTGCTAATTGTTTAGTAAATGTAAAGAATAATAATAGAGTCAACATCACTGTTCTCAACACCTCCGAAAACAATGTCTCGCTAAATTCAAATCTTAATCTTACCTTATACCCATTACATTACGACGTACTCCATGTGCCTCAATCCAATCAAACATGCCTAAAACGAACTCAAGAAGTGCTTAACTTACTCCGCACCTCTCATTTGAATCATGAAGAATCTGAAGCCCTATACAATTTATGTAGTGCATTTTCCGACATTTTTCACCTACCTGATGATCAACTTACCTTTACTGATGCTCTCCAACACGAAATCCGAACAACCTATAAATGTAAAATCCTACCGATTTCCTGAAATTCATAAACAAGAAGTCCAAAACCAAATTTAAAAAATGCTCGATCAAGACATCATCCAACCCTCTATCTCTCCCTGGTCCTCTCCCATATGGATTGTACCAAAGAAAATCGATGCATCGGGACAAAAGAAATGGCGGATAGTCATCGATTACCGAAAGTTCAACGATATTACTATTGGCGAAACATATCCTATCCCGAACATAACCGAAATATTAGACCAATTAGGCAAATCAAAGTACTTTTCAACCCTCGATCTGGCTGCCGGTTTCCATCAAATTAAAATGGCCTCTCAAGATTCAAGCAAAACTGCTTTCAGTGTTCTCCAAGGACATTTTGAATTTAAAAGGATGCCTTTCGGCCTGAAAAACGCACCATCTACTTTTCAGCGGCTTATGAATAACGTCCTCACCGGCCTGCAAGGATAACGATGTTTCGTCTATTTTGACGATATCGTTATTTATTCGTATGACCTTAAATCCCACATTCAAAACCTTTCCGCTGTCTTCCATAAACTCCGTATTTTCCACTTAAAGTTGCAGCCCGACAAGTGTGAATTTTTGAGGAAGGAAGTTGGTTACCTAGGTCACGTAATTACCGAAAATGGTGTAAAACCTGACCCAAAAATTAAATTAAATCCGTTCAAGAATTCCCTGTCCCAAAATGCCCTAAAGATATAAAATCTCGCCTGCTTGAAGCGAACCGCACGTTTAGGCCTTATATCATACTACAGGCGTTTCATCCCTGAATTTTCTAAACTTTCTAAACCTCTTACATCCCTCTTGAAAAAGGAAAGCCCATTTATCTGGACCAACGAACAACAATTCGCCTTCGAAAACCTTAAAGATAAATTAATAACCGCACCGGTCTTAATCTACCCCGATTTCACAAAATCGTTTACGCTCACCTGCGATGCGTCAAACTACGCAATATCCGCTATCCTCTCCCAAGGTTCTGTAGGTAAAGACCATCCTATAGCCTACGCGTCGCGAACACTTTACAAAAATGAAGTTAACTATAGCACTACAGAAAAAGAACTTTTAGCAATTGTATACGGCTGTAAAACATTCAGGCCGTACTTATTCGGTAGAAAATTCTTTATCGTTACCGACCATCGTCCTTTAAAATGGTTATTTAATCATACTGACCCCAGCAGTAAGATGCAACGTTGGCGCTTACAACTCGAGGAATATGAGTACGAAATCATATATCGAAAAGAAAAACTTAATTCTGCAGCCGACGCACTCTCACGCTACCCTATCTGTAACAAAAGTCCAATCAATACCGAAAATCCTGGTAACGAACTTATAGACCTCGGTCCTTTGAACTTTAGTCCATTTAACAATGAAGACGTAGACTTCACACCTTTGAACATGCCATCTCCGGCGTACTCAGATCCACAACATCTACTTGACAATCCAACACTAACCCCTACATTACTTGAAACAAAATCTAACGAAATTCAACCTAGCACAAGCTACCAAAATCCCGTAGTTGAAAATCCTGAAACAATTCCAAAAAACATTCCAATAACCGACTCATATTCCCAATTCTTAAAAAAACTCTCCAAACATGCAATGTGATACCCAAATTATCGAACATAACGACAGCATATTAAAAAGCCCGCCAAGTATCCTTATAATACCTACATCCATTGACCTCGACGAATCAATGCCCTATGTTGAAGAAATCCTATCAAATCTTCCCGAGTCCCAGTCGTTCATCCAATCTGAAAAAACATTACATTCATTCAAATCGTTTTTACACAACACAAAACAACATTATTTCTTATTCTTAAAGGTACATCACTTTGATGACTGTAGTTATAATGATATATTTGAATCCCTGAAGGGTTTGAGAAACCATTTAGTCCTGAGTAACGAGTCTGTTAACAAAATAAGCCTAACAGATTTTCGAAACCCGTTTGATAGACATGCCTATGTCAAAATCTATAATATGCTAGCATACTTATTTCATAATACAAAAATATAAATTCACATTTATAGAAATAAAATTTACTATCCTAGTCCTAGCGAAGTCCAAAAGATTCTGAAAGAGAATCACGACATCCCTGTAGCGGGACACCTCGGCTCAAATCGTATGTTCAATAAAATTCGTGAACAATATTATTGGAAGAATATGCGTAGTGAGTGACATTGAGAGATGTAAAGGACTGCTCACCTTGCCAAACTAATAAAGCTTTACTCAAAATAAATAGAGCCCCTATGCAAATAACAAGTTCCTCCACAACTCCCTTTGAAAGATTGTCCCTAGACATAGTCGGACCTCTCCCAG